GGACTCCAACTCCGGGTTTGAATTCAGAGTTTCCTTCTCTTAGATGAGTTGCCGACCAAGGTTAACGAGTCTCATCCACCCGGGGTGATGTTTTTGCTTGACCGGCCTTTGGCTGAAATTGAGGTTTGCTCAGTTTAGACCATTCGGCCACCCAGTCACCCATGCAGTTCTACGTGTCTGGTCATGTTCTCAGCGATTCACACCACTGTGCTGTCTCCGCCTTTTGTCCGTTGACCAAGTAGTGGTTCTTCCGCACAATTTGCCGGATTCAGTCTTTACATGCTATGGGGGACAACCCCTTTTTTTCCGAAAGTTCTATGCCCTTCGGCTACCCTCAACCTGGAATCGTTGTCTGGGTTGTAATCGCTGTGCATGTTACAGCTTCTTGGAACCACAGGTGAGAGCTGAGTACAGAGACTTCCGGCTGTTTCCGAACAAGGTGGCTTCTTCCTATTCAGCTCAACAGTAGATCTATATTGTAGTTGTAATTTAAAGGAGAAATACGTTGATAACAGCATAAATTCTGATCCTGAATGGAACCGCAAAACAATAAAAATTAATGAAAAGTTCGAATTTTCTTGCGTCCAAGACAATTTCCAATAATCATCTTTAACTATCCCCCTTGTTTTACTGAAGCGCCTACACACTGAGATACATATATCGATAGATGCGAACAACCCAGAAGTAAGACTGTAAGTATGATATTAATAGCCGAATACTGTCAGCATCTAATAAGATTAGCCTTACATATACGGATCATCATAATTTATATCGAGCATGACGATATTTGATAGATTCCATTAATTGTAGTCGGTTAAAGGCACGAGTTACTGCGTATTTTAAAACTTTTTTCAAATGACAATAATATCATATATAATATAAATATTGTTCCGTTTTATTGTTGTACACGTTTTTCTCCGCTGGCTGGGGGGTGTCCGCCCCCCCCCCCCGAGGTACCTGAAAGAAACACTATGGGTGAATGATATCATAGAGCTTGGCACTCGGCGGAACTCCATCACAGTGTTTGAATACAGCGTATATAGATTACACATTGTGTTAACCGCAATATAACTAACACTGCTTTTGTGGTACTAGTGCAACGCATTACTTGCAAGTCAATAACCACAAGTCATCTTATCTGCTCCACCTTAATATATAATGAATTATTCCCCTTACCATGTGACATTTGATAGGTAAATTGTTAATATTATATGTACGTTACTCTGCTAAGTTGTGTGTCACCTCTAGACGATTTCTAGTATTACTACTACTAATAGAGAATTTCATGATCACATTCATGTAATCATAACAAGACACATTTTACATAAAGTTATATACTTTCATCCTTTTACTTTTTTCTGTGCAATACTAATCCATTAAGTTGGGCCCTGAGTATCGAATATATATTATATGGCATCCGTCCGTCACAATGTGACGATGGAGTGGGCTTCGAAATCCACATGGCCTGGGATTATTCTTTAAGGATTATAAGCTGGTGGCCCAACAGCAAATGGCCTCTCTCCACTCAGCTGGATAACCCAAGGGAACATCATTGGATGTCATAATTCGGCTTTGGCACCAGTGACGTCACAGGAGTTGTGGGAATGTTTCATTGTACCAATGTTATCTGCCTTTAGGGACTCCATCTCCGGGTTTGATTTCAGAGTTTCTTTCTCTTAGATGAGTTGCCATCCAAGGTTAACGAGCCTCATCCACCTGGGGTGCTGGTGGGTTTTTTGCTTGACTGGGCTCAGGCTGGAATTGAACTCCAGACCACCAGCTCAGTTTAGACCACTGGCCCACCCAGCACTGAGAATTGAATACTGGTACTATACATGAATATCCCAGTCTGTATACCAAGCTTAAAAACTACAATATGGCGAAGAGCTGTTATTCATACCTCATCAAAACTTTACTTAACCATAGTCGAGACTACTTTACTTAACATGTTGGAACATCAGTGACATAAAAATTGAAACATGTGCCAGACAGATACAACCAAAACAGAAGAGAACTATAAAAAAAGATTCATAATTATATGAATGAAATTTATTGATTTCCAGAAACATAAAAAGATGCAATATATGAGACCATTCTATTTCCTCAAAATCTGGGTGGAAGTTTAAAAAAAACAACAACTGGTGATCAAAAAATGAATGATGATTTATAAATGAACCAATATGCTCCAGTCCATTGTGTGAGAGCTCAGAGCTTGGCGATATGGGGGGGATGCATCATAATACAATAATCAACTTGTAGTACTGGTCAACAAGCATACAAATCAAACATGCACTCAGGCAACATTCTGTGGATATACAGGACTTTGAAGGACATGTGGCACTCTCTTTATGTATGTGAATTTTTTTTTTTTAATTAGACTGCTTAATATTTTTTTAATCAGATATTACAAATATGAGCATAAACCCCCAAAAAATAATATAATAAAACACAGCAATTTATTTTTATGTACATATTTCCTACACATGTGTAAAGATCTGTCTCATAAAACTTGCAACATTCCTACAGGAGACAAAACAAGAAATAGTCAGTTCTCTAAACTATCATCTTTTAAATGTCCAAATTAACAAAATTAAATTTAAAACTAATATGGTTCAAACTCCAAACAACATTCAGTGCAGCAATATCAGGTTTAATTCAGAAATATACACATCAATCTTCCTCTTACATATGGCACATGCATAAAGTAAGAGCTTCCATGAGAGGAACCAAAATATATGCCTAAGAGATAGGTCTTAAAAGAAACACTACACCGTTTTTGAAAATTTTTTCTTAAATTACTTAGGCTACAGGTTGTGATTTAAAGGAAAATTAGTCAAAAAGTTTGGAAAGCTCATCTATGTCACATCATACCCAATTTAAAACAATTATCAAAACATAATTAAAACCTACACTTAATTAGGTCACATTTTATGTGAACATGAAAAATGACAGAATCGAATGCACCAGTTACAATAGAATTAAAATCAAAAAGAAAAAAAAAAAAAATGGAATTATTCAAATTACAGATTTGAAAACATTATTAAAAATATACATTATGTCACATCATACCAAATTAAAAAAAATTATAAAAACATAATTAAAACCTACACTTAATTAGGTCAAATTATAAATGAACATGAAAAATGAAAGAATCGAATACACCAGTTACAATAGAATTAAAATCAAAAAGAAAAAAAAAAAAACATGGAATTATTCAAATTGCAGATTTGAAAGCATTATTAAAAATATACATGTGCCAATGGTCACATGAGTTGCTCATGCATTGACTTCAGTAGACATGAAGCCATCTTTGGAATCAACAGATGAAAATAATGGACCATATCAAATCAGTCATATTTATAAAAATTGAGTGTCCATCAAATGTCCAGGATAAAATTTGCCCTCAAAAATCCTATCCACACTCATTTCATTCCCAAACCTTTTATGCATTATGTACAATGATGTCCAATATCTCACCCAAACATACAGACGAACAAACAGGAAACAGAGACTATGCATCATCTTCATCCTCTTCTTCAGCGCCCTCTTCTTCTTCTTCATGTTTCCTTTTTGTCCCTCTTGCTCCTTCTCCTTCCTCTTCACCTTCCTCCTCACCCTCTTCGTCTTCATCCTCATCTTCATCTGAATTAAAAAAAGGATTATCAGCATAGTGTAATTAATGTAGAAAGTCAATTTAAAATGCTAAACTTGCTATTAAAAATAAAAATTTAGGACAAAACCTAAGAGCCTTTACCAAACAACAAAACAGGAACTGGGAAAAACTCATTTAACATGGGACTTAACCTTCTGTTGATCTTACTGAATTGCTTCAATTTAATTATTTGGTTTACAGTGTGGGGGAAAAAATGAACTCAGCCCTATAACCCCCAAAACTTTGATTCAACTTTTTAGTGAAAAAGCTCATTTACGCCATCCTTTAAATGATATTGCAATAAATATTTAAGAATGGCCTCCCCAAATGAACAGAACTTATTTTAATAAAACAATTGATTGCAAAATATGGGGATCAAAGATGAAGGTTTTAATTTCTTTCAAGTACAGGTTAAACAAAATATCCTTACCTCCATCTTCCTCAGCTGCTGGAGCATCCTCATCATCATCATCTTCTTCCTCCTCTCCTCCCTCAACAACCTGGTCATCATCGTCGTCATCATCATCTCCTGGCTCAAAATCTTCTTCATCCTCATCTTCATCCTGTAAATAATGAATATAAAATTCAAATATAAGATTAAACCAATGCAAGGTACCAAAAGAAATGTTAGTTATACAGAAATAGAACACAAAAAAAATTAATGTTTTTTAAGCAAGTTCCAATAAATAAAACTAATACTTCACACACAAAAATTATATGATTTAATTATGAGGTTCTCAAACAGAACCAGAATATTTGAAATTCATCCATTTCTATAATCAAAGTAAAAATATTCAATTCACAACAAAGCAGAATGGGCCATTATGTTTCTTCATACATGTTATGAAATTAATATTTAAACTTGAGAACCACTCATGTAACAAATTTTGCAGTTTATAAAAATTACTGTATAATATAAAAAAAAAATCCACCCTTTTAAAGGGGAAAAATTTAAATATAGATATTATGTCGAATCATGTTAAGACATGTCTAAATAATGTGCACTTTAGTTCAAATGCAATTTAAAATTCAGTTTCTACAGCATTAAATCAAAGATTCATCAAATCATTGAAATTTGAGATTTTAACATTCTTTGAGAAAGCAATTTAACTTTTTGAAAACTATACTGTGTAGAATAGAAAGCAAATGTATTTCATTATCTTTGACATTCAAACAATGATAATAGTGATCATGTTTAGTGAACTAACATCAATGTTCTTTGTCAGGTATGACAGACCAACCTCTTCCTCCTCGCCATCGTCATCTTCATCATCATCCTCTATCTCATCAACAACTGTTGATAAAAAAGATTTACATCTGTCAAAATGAACTATTCATAAGTTAAAAACAAATCAAAGTTGTTTTTTTTTAAATTTTAGGTACTTTTTTAACAAATGAAAAAAGGTTCTAAACAAAAGAAAGTCTATTTAAAACTATCACTTACCTTCATCATCATCATCATCCTCTTCCTCCTCACCTGAAAATAAAACGGAAAAACCATTTGAAAAAAGCGCTTAAGCACAGTGAGAAGAGAATTCAAATTCTATATCCAAGAAAAATGTATTTGTAAAATGTGAATTGTAATAGAATATATTTTTAAATTTATCAATGTGATTAAACCATGTCAAAAAATCTTAGTACTCCGGAAAAGAGGATGAAAAATGATAATTAACAATTATTACAACTATTAAAGAAAGAAAATTGTATGTGGCAAGTGTGAATTTTGCATTATTGATACCGGTACAAGTTGTATATAGTTAATTATTATACAAATAACGTATTTGAACAGAAACAAAAAGGGAATACATTTTAAATGATTTATTCTTAAAAATATTTATTAATTGTGACAAGAACAAATAAACCAAAAAATAAACTTATAAAATGTACAACTAAGAGTTTGGAAGGCCTGAAATTATACTTTTAACTGTGATGAATGATAATGTCAGTTAAATCCCTTCCCAATAAACGAAATGTGTACATGACAAATCTTTTTAAACTGTCAATTTTAAAAGGTATTAGTTACCTTATAATAATACTATTCTTTAATCAGTATTAAGCGTTTTTGACTTAAAATCAGGATATTCCCTTTTATTGCACATATTTTGATTCAAGAGATATTATTCATGACAAAGAATCTAATAATTCATAAGACACAAATGTGCCCACCCATGGAACTAAAAAAATCAAAATTATTTTATGGCCTTTCTTCATCATATAAAGTAGAGATATAGAAATATCAGATTGGTTTGAAAGCAACAGAAACTCCAACATTAGGCTGAAACTTTATCCGCAACAGCTAAAAATTAATTCATACCTAAATTACCATTAATGTATCAAAATTCAGACTTACCATCCACATCTTCTTGTTCCTTCTCTTCTCTGTCAAATCCATCAAGGTAGGTGATCTGTGACAACTTGGCAAAGACCTTCTCTCTGTATTGTTCATTATTGGTCACTTCACAGTTAAATAGGTCAAGGCTTCTCAAGAAATGGAGATCTTTCTGCATAGTGGTAATAAAACAACTAATGTAACAACCCATAATAGTTAAATCTGTACAATTAAGCATGGACTCTGCTATGTAAACTCAGGATTATGAACATAAATATGTAGGATGTCTGAAATTTTTTTTATTTTCCTTAATGAAATTACTGAGATTACTAAAAATTATATAGCTTCAGATTTGCATACCTATTACCAATGTGTGTTCTCTAATTAAAATAGGAACCAAACTTTTCTCTTTTAACGAAACATTCCAATTACAAGTTTTAAACTTACTAGTGGATCCAAGACATCAAAGTCTTTGATTTTATTTCCACTGAGACTAAGATGTGTGAGGTTAGGACAGCCAGTTAAGTGATTTAAACCTCCAGAAATTCTATTGTCACTGAGCTCCAACTGAAAATAAAGATCAAGGGGAAATACAGCAATCAATTTTTTAAAGAAAAAGAGCCTGGTCTAAGTGTAAAGGCTCAGGGTAAAAAAAAAACTATAAAATAACCTATTGCATAAAAAATATATACCTTTCTTAAGTTACCAAGCTTAGGAAAGCCTTCCAAGCTCTGCAATCCCAAATTTATTAGACTCAGTGTCTGTAAATTTGTAAATTCACTGGTCAGACCTTCTATTTTGTTTGCACGACAATTGTCAAGATTAAGATCCAAAATCTAAAATGAAAAAGATTGACATATATAGTAGTTATAGACAAAATAGTTGTTAATTAGTATGTAACAACTTATTTATTTAATAATGCAAATAATGGTAAAAATAATTTAGTAAGTCTAAAAGTAAATAAAGTAAAGATACAATTGAAATGGGGATGCATCTCATCATAACATGGAAACCATAGGCTTCTTGAACAGATTACCATCATGACACCCCCCCCCCCCCCCCATATCTATGACTATGATGTCATGTAGACCTATAATAGTATATAGTAATACACTTGACATGTCTATTCAGCAATATAAAAACTAATTATTTTGTTTTAAAATAGTTAAGCTTAAATCCTTCTCGCATAAGCTATAAAAATTTGATCTCACTGGTTAACTTCATATTTACAACTCTCGACCCATTTTATTGCGAATTGTGACCTACTGGAAAAATCCAACATGGCGGGAATTGGGGCCAGAACGACTTGCAAACGCCAGCTGATTTTTAGTACTTGACATTCATGACTTAACCATACAATTTATTAAATAAAAACACATTGTTGGAAACTATGTTGCTAGAGATGATAAGCCACAGCTTAATTTTATTTATAGCATTACTGAATAGCAACAGATCTATTCACTTTCAAGATGGCGCACTATGCTGTCGACGCTCAAATGTGAAATGGCGAACGATCGAAAACACGCTGATCTCCCTTGCACACCTTCAAGTATCGGCGTTTACATAGATGATTGAGAAGCGGTACGCTGTCGTTCATTAAAATGTCGTTTTAATATATTTTTTTTCTTTCTGTAACTATCAAAAAAGCAGATTTATTTTTTCGTATTACAAGAAATCACTTGTTGGTATTTAAATAGTTCGTGGCCTGATTAGACGGAAAGATCGACATTTTTATTCCACTGCACATGACGGCCTACAAAGTAAAGCGAACAATTCCAACAACACAGCCATGACACCGCTTCTCACTTTTGTGTCCCACATGTATAATAACTTCAAAATATTTTATATTATAAAATAAAGTATTGTAAAATAATATTTAAATTCAATCTTTAATGTAAGAATGCTCACTAATTTGTTTTAAATTTAAAGGCATCGACAACTGGACTGAAAGGGGAGTCAAAGGCGCCATGTTTATGGTGATAAATAAGACTGAACATTCCCAACTTATTTCACAGATCATGGCTACACATATATGGACTAGAGAACATTTTTTTTCCATTAACAAAATTATATCACATTAAAGGTTAATACCACATTAGTCATTTACACCATAGAAAGAATAGTAAGGCAACATCGTCCCATGCTCATGCATAGCGGTGCACGCCAGGGACGATAGTGTAGATAGTTTCAAGATTCTATGTAGAAAGTTGTAAGAATATTTGATACATACGTTATCAGCAGGTCTACCCCTCATTTCCAGTTCAATCCTTTTTCCAAGACCTAACGACATTTTCATTTAGTAATCCAAACAATGAAATATCACTGATGTTTGACTGAAAATCAAAGCTCCGTTTTCAACAAGAAAGCTCTTACGCTACCACAGTGCGCGCGAGATATCAATGTTGAGAGGGCGCTGCGCTGATTGGCTGAGCCGGGTCCTGGGGCATGTGGTAATCTCATGAATATATAATGAGTACAACCAATCGAAAACGATTTAATAAAAACAAACCCACGTGGAATTTCTATTTTTATCTTAACCATGCTCTTTCGATCATTGTTTACAAATTATTTTTAATACCGGTACCTTTTTTTCCATTTATTTTCAATATTTTAAATACCACAATAAACAGACCACTTCAGTAAAAATATAAATTTTCATATTTTTATTAGTAAAGTTACAAAATATAGTTTATTAATATTAAAAAATATATCACACTGAATCACACCTTTGTAACAAACTTTGTATTGGAAATCAATTATTTTAAATTAAGATTACGAAGATAAAGTTAAATAATTTAATTTTTCTTTCCTAGACCTAGGCCAGCATCAATAATGAAATTTTTAATAAATAATAACATTGTCTTCAATTTTGAATTGGTAAAATTTAAACCGCCATTATTATTATGCCAATATTAATTAAATATCTCATCATAAAAATAAATAGTTAATACTAGGACTTTTCTGAAATTAATGCTCTCTGACTTATTGTGTATGCAGCATGCAATTTGGGTCCATCTTTTGCTGAACAATTGAAAATAAATCTATTCAGTTTATTCTCCTTTGTATTTATGACATCCTTGTCATAGTTGATGAGTAGGCTTAATTTAGTCGGACCCTATATATTGAAAGATAGAACTATTATAAGCTAAACATGAGAATTTAGGGTTTAAGATAACTTTAATTTTAATTAATAAAAATAGTCTATAATAACATGTTGGCTGGCTATATGAGGATTAGAATTAGATCGCTACCAATATGGTATCAGTTAAACTGCACATTTTTTAAAACATAGAATTATAATTAATTATTTAAAAACCATTGAAGCAAGGGTCATGGCTGTCAGTAGCACACCTTTTACGGGGTCAGATTTGTTACTAATATTACTTTAACTTTTTTTTTAAAAATGCATTGTTACAGTACTGGTAATACAAGTTAGGGGCCCTCCACTATTTAAATCACGTGACTACTGAATGACATGACTGTCCTACTATTTTATAATTAGGCTAAGCTAATCTGGTCTTTTTTTAAATCGCATGTTTCCCCACCCCACGGCCCACTGACTTCAAAATGATACATTTTGACATCCTGATAAAAAGTCTTCACAAATACATGGACTTCCCCTGGTCCACCCCCACCCCCCCCCCCAAAACAAACATGGATGCGTGGACCAGATGTCATTTTGGCTATAATATAATATTATAATAATATTATTAATATACCATATATTTAATCCGCTACTGGTAACCGGTACTAATAAAATAATAAAAAATAATTTTCATTGATTTTTCCTGAAAAATGTATCTTTTCTTTAGTTTGTTTAAGCAGCAAATTTATTATGAAGCAGAGCAGGGTCGCAAGTCCATAATCATATTGTAATAAGCTATAAGGTTGTTACAACTTACACTTACAGCCAGACCCTTTTTCAAAAGTTTATGTGTGGTGGTCATGGCATGGCCATACAGTGCCCATAATTCATAATAATACTGGATACTCCAATGCCCATGCCCATGGCCCATAGCCATTTCATTTTTTAGACTGGTGTGATCAATCTAAATCTTTACATTGCATGCGCAATATAAACATTCGTGCTGAATAAAAATAATTATTAAAAGCCCAGGTTTGTTCAATTGTTTTCATTGAACAATATAAGTGCGCCTGCTTAAAATTAATTATTCTATATTATTTTTATCTTCATAGTTTGGGTTGCATGATAATTTGCCGCCTTTAATCACGTGACATTGATCATTTGTGACGTCACTTGAACTGGATCTGACTAAAACATTATTTATATTGATAATATACTTGTTTTTTTCGGTACATTTGAGTAGCTTAATTCTATTTATGACATGCCTAACTTTATTATTACCATCTAAATTACCTTAAAACCCTATTCCGAAATTTGCAGTATCCTGACTAGTTCCGATTTTTTTCGATTCTTTATATAGTGCGTTGGGCCCCAATGACCTTGAGTACCGACGTCAAAATTCGTCCACAACGTTTTGCAAATACTTAGCTTATTACTACCCTTACCGGACATGAAAAGTCTGCTCAACAATGTCTGTAAGATATATAAAGACTTTTCATATCCTAAAACACACATTTCCATGATGATAACAGGCGATTTAATACTGAAAATGCGAAAAATCCAAACTAGCTTCTTGTCAGTTCGACATCAAATTCAATATGGCTACCTTAAAGTTTAGTCTCTTGCGATGTCTCTCACCGGTCGAACGGTTTATTCTCATTGCTCTTATCCCTCTGGAGAGAATTTCATTCTCTTCTGCGTGCACTTTGCACAACGAGCTTCAGTAGCGTTGCATTTCATAACTTTTATTGATTTATTGTATCTACGAAATGTTTAGTTCGTCTAGTGCCTTTTACTTTCACGTTTTTTTTCCCCCCAGATAAATAAGGAAGTTTAATAAATGCTTGTTACACTTCTCGTAACTTTAGGTTACTATGAGTTGTTATAATATCAACCTTAATGAACGTATATAAATATAAGGCTTATAACTTATAATAAGCCGTGAATAACTTTCTTGAATTAAAGATTAAGGGTGTTTTTTTTTCTTCAATTTTTATGTTTTGTTTTGTTTTTTGGGGGGTTTTTTTGTTGTTTTTTTTTTTTTTTTTTTTTTTTTTTTTTTATTTTTTTAATTTTTTTTTTTTTTTTTTTGTTTTTTTAATTTATCATATTCTCAATGCTCTTTCTTTGTTTCAGCTCAGTTGGATAACGGGAAGTAGGTCAAAATTGAGATGCAAGATTTGACTATTTTTAAACACAAAGTAACGGAAAGAGCAACCTACCAAAGTGTCATACGACTGATGCATTTAAATTTAATTTTAATGGGCGCCCGTCGATTTTTTTTTTAAAGTTATATGACTAACAGCTATAAAGTTTTGAGGGATATTTACTTGATAAATTTTCGGAAAAGCGTTTTTTTTTTTTTTTTAAAGTATCTTTTTTTATTGTATATTTGAGTCAAAGTTTTAGCTAATTCTGAGATCGGAAAGTGTGTCAATATTGACATGCAAGANCCCCCGGCGCAAAAATATGTCCAACAACAAAACAACTAGCCCTGCTGGTACTTCCCCCCCCCCCGAAAAATCTGAAGTGCCCCCCCCCCAACGAGGGGAAATTTCTGAAATAAGCACTGGTTGTATTTTCATTGGGGGCGAATAAGTGTACAGTTTCAGCTCAGCTGGGCATCAGGAAGTGGGTTAAAATTGAGTAGTAAGATTAGACCCTGACATACAAAATTTCAAGCTAACTAAAAGCGTGTAAAAAAAAAAAAGCAACCGCTGTACGCGTTGTTGAGACGAGTGGCGGTGGAACTGCTCGGAAGGCAGTAAAAAGCTCCGATTCTTAAGGGGTGGTAGAATTTACTAAGGGGGCGCTGATGAATTCTGTAATGCTACTTGTTTAAAATCATACATTTAACGAAGTAAAGTAAAACTATTTGATTTTCAGCATTAAAAAAAACAATTGTAAATTGATAGACTTTTGATCTTTTGCCCATTCTTATTCTGTTATGTCATTGTTAGGTAGGATACACACACACACACACACAGATATATATATGAATATATAAATATTGGTATATTGCCTATTAGTTTATTATGTAAACTTAATTTATACTTGTATGAATTTGTTTGTGTGTGTGTGCTGATAAAGACATTTGCCGAAACATTATTATTTGTATTCTGTGTAACCAATATTAAAGCTTAACCCCATATTGTGCTATTTACAACAACAAAAAAATGTGTTTCATTAATCTACTGGAAAGCTAGCTTTATCGCATTCTGACATTCTTATAATTAGGTTAGCTTCGTCACCGTTCGACGTAGAACATTTATGTATTTGGGATTGCCCATTTGGAGTCTTTGGTACTCATCATGCTATTTTTAATTATTATTATTATTTTATTTATTTTTTTTGGTTAGATAAATTTTAATGAAATGGACCAATTAAACACTACCCGCCATGACCTGTTGTGCGGCAGAAAAATAAGTAACACTAAAATTAGAAGAAGAAAAAAATAGAATGATGGAAAGATTACGAGGTAAGTTTTAAAAAAACGCGTCTAAATTAGTTCGTTTATGTCTCACACTCTACGATAATGCATGTTTTTGTTTTTTTTTATTTTGTGATCAATTTAACATTTAAAAAATATTATTATTATTTAATATCCACCCTTGCCATGGACCCCAATCCCGCTTTTTTTTTCTTTTTTTTTTAAACTATTATTTTGCCAACCACCCCTATTCCGCACTTCTCCCACCTTTTCCTTACCATAGTCTCTGTTGCTGATAACTAGACTACCCAAAGGCACGTCACTTTTACTTATAGACTTGCGTCATGGCTTCCTAGTCATTTTTTTTTTTTTGGGTGGGGTGGGGAGCAGGGTTTCTTTCAGCTTCCCCAGGGAAAGCCAAGTGGAGCAAAAATATGTCCAACATTTAATCAACTGGGACTGCTGGCACTGCCCCCCCTCCCCCAAAAAATCTGAAGTGCCCCCCCCCCGGGGGAAAATTTCTGAAAGAAACACTGGTGGGGAGGTGGGGGAATGCGAGAAATGGGTGTGAGGAAATTGGATTTAAGAACAGAGGAGTCATGAGCTTTCCAAATATAGACTAAAGGTTATTTAAGATAAGATAAGATGCTTTTATTGATCCAAACATATGGAAATGTTTTTTGATTGCATTGTATATAGGCCTATACATTTTCAGCACATAAATAAATATATATTTTTTATAAAGTCCGCTTTTTTCAAATAAAAAAATTTAAGCACAAGATATCTATATTAAATTATTTCACTAGTGAAAAAAACCAGCCCTTCAGTGAACTCCCATAGTCATAACAGTGACTTATAATTAATTATTAGTTCTCATTTAGATTTGTGAATTGGGGGGGGGGGAAGGCACGCTGGTAAATTCGTACAGATTGGGGAACAAAAGAA